AATCTGTATCTTCCATTCCAACCTCTCCCACCACCATGGGCAAGACCAAAGAGCTGTCAAAGGATGTCAGAGACAAGATTGTAGATCTGCACAAAGCTTGAATGGGCTACAAGACCATCAGCAATAAGCTTGGTGAGAAGGAGACAACAGTTGGTGCGATTATTCGGAAATGGAAGAAATGCAAAACGACCATCAATCGGCCTTGGTCTGGAGCTCTGTGCAAGATCTTGCCTCATGAGGTAAGGATGATCATGAGAAAGGTGAGTAATCAGCCCCGAACTACACGGGAGGAGCTTGTTAATGATCTTAAGGCAGTTGGAACCACAGTCACCAAGCAAACCATTGGTAACACACTACACCTGCTGAAGAAGGCACATGTACAGACCCGTTTAAAGTTTGCCAATTAACATCTAAATGATTCAGAGAAGGCTTGGGAGAAGTGCTGTGGTCAGATGATACCAAAATTAAGCTCTTTGGCATTAACTCGACTTGCTGTGTTTGGAGGGAGAGAAATGCTGACTATGATCCCAAGGAACACCATCCCTACAGTCGAGCATGGAGCTGGAAACATTATGCTTTGGGGCTGTTTTTCTGCTAAGGGTACAGGATGACTTCACCGCATTGAGGGGCAAATGGACGGAGCAATGTACTGTAAAATCTTGGACGAGAACCTCCTTCCCTCAGCCAGAACACTGAAGATGGGTCATGAATGGGTATTCCAGCATGACAATGACCCGAAACATACTGCCAAGTCAACAAAGGAGTGGCTCAAGAAGAAGCACATTAAGGTCATGGAGTGGCCTAGCCAGTCTTCAGACCTCAATCCTATAGGACATCTGTGGAGGGAGCTGCCAAACGACAGCCAAGAAACCTTAAGGATTCAGAGAGGATTTACTACGTTTTGTTTATTACATTAATGCACTGACTAAATATATAGCCACACTTCTTGGTTGTCATGCTTGCTGGCAGATTTGTACACACAGACGATTTAGAATTTCAAAATATAGCTGTTAACCAGCGTGGAGTCTCTAATGAAATAAAACCAAATAACACGTAAAGATGCTTTTGCAGCTAGCCTGCTGCACATTAGTAACATCGAAAGTGTGTTTAGTTCATAGGTGATATTTTGTACACTAAGCTTCCATAATAATTCAATTAAATACTATGCTAAGAGAAAACATCACAATAGCGTAGTCATTCAAAACCAGGACAAAGAATGAACATAGCGCTAACATTAATGAATGTCTATTTGGAATAACCATGCTCTTACCAATTTGACCGTAGGCCATACTGATTAGCCTCTCATTCACCAATTTATCTGTTTTAGCGTTTCTGGGTTGTCTCTTCATGATATCACTTTCAGCAATTTCATAGGCCAATGAGATAGCAGGAACCTGCGGAAACATTAATCAACAAATCAAAATATAGCTGCAGCCAATTACAGCATGCATTACACCACCAGAAGCAAGCATAACCATCTAAGTAAAGCACAGTTACATAGGACACCAGAACCACAATTTGAAGCCAATAGGTTCACAGATAATAAGTAGAACCATTTCTTTACTTTTTTGACCATTTGGGGGAGCTGTCAAAAAGTCATAGTTCAGGACATGGAATTAGTTTTTCAATAAGATTCAAAATGGTCAACAGCCAATATGATTGACACCAGAAAAATGGACATCACTGTTTGTGAAAAGTTATGAACAGAGTCAGAGCATTACACTTAATTATTTGGAGTAATTTTCAGATTTTCTGACCAGTAGTGGGACTAAATACAAACTTACACAATGGCTGCAATTACAAGGTTTCATCCAATGCATCCAAGCATTGCCATGACAAGGCCAAACTTCCTGGTTGGGATGCTATTCATTGGCATGGTCTAAAGATTATCTGTCCCAAAGCTAGGGAGGATCTGTACGCTAGTTTGTTTTCAAGACATTAAAGATGGTTCAAACTATGATCCAATGAATCAGAAGAAAAAAATAACATGGTTCAAAGGTTAGTTCCAAAAATGTGTCAAACTTTGAGCTGTTGGTGGCACTACGGGGTCTGAGAGGGCAACCAAAGTCAAACTGAAGGTCAGGCCTTCCCCAATCAGTTTACGAAATATCAAAATGTTTTACCCTAAGGATCTAGGGACTGCCAAACCAAAGAAAATGAAGAAAACTAATCTAATCTATATAATAGGTGAATATGCCCCTTCAGTGTTTGGCCCCTGATTCCCGTACTGGAAAATATTCTGTATCAGTAAAATGTGTCCTTTCACCTACCATGTCAGTCCCCAGGTCAATACAGAGAATGGTGACGGTACCCAAAGGTAGAGGAATATTAGCAATGATGAACAAAAGGAAGGGTGAGATCTCAGGGATGTTACTGGTCAGAGTGTAGGCAATGGACTTTTTCAAGTTGTCAAAGATCAGACGTCCTAAAGTTGAAGACATGTTTGAGAAATAAGTGTCAAAATAAACTTCAGAAATCCTCAGTTAATAACATTTTCAATAAAATGTCATACCTTCTTCAACTCCAGTGACAATTGAGGCAAAGTTGTCGTCCAGAAGGATCATGTCAGCAGCCTGTTTGGAAACATCAGATCCAGCAATACCCATAGCCACACCAATGTCAGCCTTCTTTAGAGCAGGAGAATCATTGACACCATCACCGGTTACGGCTACAATGGCACCCTGATAAGAGGAAAAAATGCATTAAAATGGTATCTGCTCGGCGAAATCGTCTAGTATCAATAGGATTGGATAGACAACGCTCTAATGGTACCTGTCGTTGACACCCTTCCACAATGATCAGCTTTTGTTGTGGAGAAGTTCTGGCGAACACAATTTCTGTATGGTGTTTCAGGATATCATCCAGCTCTTCTTCACTCATATTCTTCAGTTCACCACCATGGACCACACAGGCCTTAGCATCTCTAGAGATACACTTTGTATTAGCATGCTTCTAGAGCAAATTCAAAACTTGGTGTCCATAAATGTTTTGTTAGAGATTGCCAATATACCTTGGATTAACCTCTCCAACAGGGATGTTCAAACGTGCAGCAATGTCTTCCACAGTCTCATTCCCTTCAGAGATGATACCAACACCCTTTGCAATAGCTTTAGCTGTAATTGGATGGTCACCAGTAACCATGATAACCTGAAATATAAGATTTTGAATTATAATTTGATTAATTTATTGTACATACAACAAGTATGAACAAAATTGAATATGCTGCAACATATTCACAAAATATTTAATAAAAAATGGATCTTGAACCAAGAACAACTTCTTGATTCAAGACCTTTTACAAATAGCCTTGTTTTTGGATGGTCACTAGTAACCTGTGATAGAAGACATAGATGCTTGATCATCTGATTCATGGTATAATATAATAAGTAAATATAATCAAGCCATCAGTCTTGAATCAAGGTGAAACAACACCTTGATTCCTGCACTCCTGCACTTGCCCACAGCATCTGGTACAGCTGCACGAGGAGGATCGATCATGGATATGAGGCCAACAAAACACAGGTTCTCAGTTGGGAAGTTCACTTCTTCAGAATCAAATGCAAAACCCTCAGGAAATTGGTCATCAGGGAGGCTAAAGTGGCAGAAACCTTTAAAAAAAGAACACTTCATTAGTGTACATAGTCATAGTTTTGACTGCAACAACTCCACAAGGTGAACTTCATAATGTTGGCTTTACCCAGCACTCTTTCTCCAAGACCTCCGAGTTCTACATAAGCATTTTGGAATGAATCTTTCATTTCATCGTCCAAAAGCTGTTCTTTTCCTTGAATCAAAATGGAGGAGCATCGATCCAAGATTCTCTCAGGGGCTCCCTTCATCACCAGCAGATGCTTAGACTCTGTGGAATTGGGATTCTTGTGGATTGAGAGCTAGAACAAAACATATTAGGGGCTGTTATGAAGGTCAGTCAAATGAAATCTGTAAATCTCCAAAGAACAATTCAACAAAAATACCTGATACTTGTTGGTGGAGTTGAAAGGGATCTCAGCAATCTTTGGGTACTTCTCTCTCATTTCAGTGACTGAACCACAGCACAGCTCAATACACTTCAACAGGGCAGACTCTGAGGCATCACCAGCTGTGTCTCGCTGCAAAAGATTTCTTTCTTTTACTGATAGTGTGTTGATGGACATACATTTGATGGACTTTTACAAGTCACTCTAAACGTAAATCATCTAAATGTTTCTCAAAATATTTTTTAAGTACTAAATATTGAGATGTTCAAGCACACCTTAAGGATTGGCACATGGTTTTGATCAGCAAGGAAGACTGCACGGTTGCACAAGCCAGCAACACGTGCAAGAGCAGACCAAGTTGGAGAGCTCCTGTCAAATGAGGTTCCACTCTGGTTCTCTGTGGTGTCTGCTTCATGAATCTGGTTGTCAAACCACATGTGAGCGACGGTCATTCTGTTCTGGGTCAAAGTTCCAGTCTTGTCAGAGCAAATGGTGGAGGTTGAGCCAAGAGTCTCCACAGCTTCGAGATTCTTCACCAGGCAGTTTTTCTTCGCCATACGTTTGGCAGTCAGAGTTAGACACACCTGCATTAAGTTACAAGTTAAGTAATAATTCTTGGCTCAAGTGAAGTGTACTTTGGCTCTGTACTTTGAACTCTGACTTACAGTAACAGTGGCAAGGAGTCCTTCAGGTACATTAGCGACAATGATTCCAATCAGGAAGATGACAGCTTCCAACCACCCATATCCAAGAATCAGGGAAAGAATGAAGAAGCTGACACCCAGGAAGACGGCCACACCAGTGATGATGTGGATGAAATGCTCAATCTCTTTAGCAATTGGTGTCTGTCCACCTTCCAGACTAGAGGCAAGAGTGGCGATACGACCCATGACAGTACGGTCACCGGTGTTGATGACAATCCCTCTGGCAGTACCTATTGAATATTGTAACTTTTAATTACATAGTTCTGACATTGCTTTTGTAATCCAACACACTTCAGCTGTTTTATCTTTGTACCTTCAACACAGTTGGTAGAAAAGAATGCAATGTTTCTAGTTTCCAGGGGATTTTCATTGGAGAAGTCAGGAGTACGAGTCTGGGGCTCAGATTCACCAGTGAGTGAAGAGTTGTCAACCTTGAAAGGAGGAAAGCAAGAATAACATGCACCTTTAAGATTCCTGGTTGGTGAAGACACCAGCATACCTACATCCCCTTCTGGTGACCAGCATTCAAAATGCAGCTTAACTATGTCATTATTTTCAACAGTGGGAGTATGTTACTTTAGCCATTCTGATAAGCTTTATGTCTTACCTTGCATCCATGTGCAGTGATGATACGAAGATCAGCTGGGATTCTGTCTCCACCTTTGACCTCCACAAGATCACCAGCTACTACCTCCTCAGCATTGATACTATTTTTCTCTCCATCACGCACAACCAGGGCTTGCTACAAAATCATATTGTATTAGAATTTTTTTGTGTGTGTGTGAGAGCTACAATGTTTTATGGGAATAACTTTTACATGTCAGTACCTGAGGAACAAGGTTCTTAAAAGACTCCATGATTTTAGAGCTCTTGGCTTCTTGGTAGTATGAGAAGCATCCTGTTATTATGACAACAGCAGCAAGCACAATTCCCAGGTAAAGCTGCAAAATCAAACAGGTTCATAGTGGGGTTAATTATGCTACTGAGAATTGTGTGATTCACTATGTTTGTTGACATATGAAACATTTATGCATAAATATAAGAAGATTTTTGTTCCACTGTACATTGTCATTAGCAGGTTCATCTTCGGAGGCAGCCTGGATACCGTATGCCAGAAAACAAAGGATTGCACCAATCCACAGCAGCGTTGAGAACCCACCAAAGAGCTGTTTACAGAACTTGACCCATTCTGGAGTTGTAGGAGGTGGGGTCAGGGCATTGGGCCCATCACGAGCTAAGATCTCCTTTGCACGAGAAGAGGACAAGCCCTGCCAATAATAATAATAAAATAACAATTTGTTAAAAGTTGTTGCATGGTGAGTGAAGCTTAAAACAAAGGCTTTTATTTAAAAAAAAATATATATATATAAACATAAATTCAAGGGAGATTTTGTAGGATAACTAAAAGGGGGCATGCAGTCCTTGAGGTGTTGGAGTTTAATGAAGGTCAGGGTGGGGCAGAAGGTTTGATCTAGGTGGGGGTGTAGCAAAATGGCAGTGCCGCACTTGCTTATGTCCGGGTTTGCTCCAGGACAGTTAGCAATAATTGACTCAAATAATATTATGCACATAGGTTTCAAATCCAAAGCTTTCATAGATTATTTGCAAGTACTTGTATTAGACGTTTTCCATTACAACATATAATCTGTTTCAATTACATATTAATTTCGATTTTAACATGCCTGCTGGTAAACTTCTTGCACAGATGTCATATATATATATTTTTTTTTTTTAGAGTAAAAGTGCTTTGATTTGACAGAAAAGACATATGGAGCTTAACAATCCAAAATTTCAATGAGGTTACCAATTTTTCAAAGGCAGATAATAACAACAATAATTTATGTCATTCTAAGAAGATAAAAGACGCATATGATTTCATATGATATCATTTTAAATACATAATGTTTCCCAAAAGTGTCACTAAGCTCACCCTGGTCAGGTCAGTGCCGTATTTGCGGTGAAGCTCATCCATTGTCAACTTATGGTCATCCTGCAGAAGCAAAAAGAGCCTTTAAATCTTAGTTTCCCACATAACTGATTATTGTTAAATGGAATGTTAAAAGTATTTTAATGCAATGTGTATTTTTAAAAATGTATTTATATATGAATTTCCTACCAGATCCACTTCTTTTTTAAGATCGTCCATGTCCTTCTGCTTTTTTTTCCCTTTTTTTGGCATTTTTGCTCCATCCTCTGAAGTTGCCGCCAATTTGTACTTATCATTCCCTGTCTATCAAAAATAACGATACTTAACATATGCAACTAACACATTAACTTAGTTAAACAAAGCAAAAGAGAGAGAAATAGAGCAATAAAAGCAAATGTGCAATGAAACTGGCAGTATAATAAATCATAGTCATAGTCTACTCACTCCAAGCCCCATTTTCCTTGTTTATTTCAATTTAAACTCTGGAGCTTTTGGATTTTAGATGTCGTAGTCCTCCTGAAAGCCTCTCCAGAGACAAAAAGCTCCTGTGTGCCCAAGCAAGGTTCACAAAATTTATACCCTGCCAACTCACCTGTTTCAAGGAGGAGTTGTAAGAAGATTAGGGAGGAGTTTTGGTTGCTGCCATGGAGCTTTAACATTTATTCAACCTTCATCTGTAAAGGTAGGTCATGTCATTGACATCTACATGAGGAACGAGCTTACTCAATATTTGAAAAGACCTGTGGTAGTTTGCACATAACAATTTATTATAAAACTTCCGTGTGCACTGATTTGTCTTTAACATTAAATTTCTCTGCATTTATAAATCATTTATTAGTCTGGCACCACCTGATTTTTATGACTTTTGGCCACTTCTCCATTTCAAAGGTAAGTGATGAATGACTGTGTAAATTGTGTCCTCTGGCATTCAACACCCAGTAATAAATCTGATAAAATCAAACTATGCTTTTAGGCTACAATCTCGTATTTCAAGCATTCTGAATGTGAGTTTGGCATACGTTTTGTTCGTGTTTTGTAAACGTCTCGCTATCTTTTCTCTGTCAACAGCGGATTAAGTTCAGTCTATATTTATGCTTTTCTACAGCATGCCACCACTTATATGTCTGTGAGCATGGATTGCACATTTCCTTTTGAGTTTGCATCCATTAGTTTGGTAAATACTCCAGGAAAACCAGGATCAGCTGGTGCTGCAGCTCAGAGAGGCCTATAAATGACAGCATGTGTTAGGAAGGTGGGAATGAACTGTGTGGACATTGAAGGTGAAATCAGGGTTCTGGGAATGTCTCTCTGACAGTCATAAACGATTCAAGCAGAAATCGGTGTTGCTGGTTTTGTGGTTACATTTTAATATTTTTTTTCCTCATAAAGGTCTAGCACTCATTAACTTGGGATCATGAAATGGCACTTTAAAGCAGCTGCCCAACCTGTTTTAAGGAAGCAGTCCCGTCTCTTAAAGGAAACATTATATACTAAAGTAGGCTGTCTGCCCGTGTGTTACTTAGAATTCACGTGAATAAAGCAGAATTTGTTACTTTGCAAGAAACAAGTGCACCAGTCTATTTTAGTCTTTGGAAATAGCAATGCCTGGATCAAATCACACACGGTAATAGCTAATAATACCCTTAAACAGTGAAAACTATCATTTAGTAAACTGGTTCCAGTGCTTCATCCAATAATTGGTCTGTCTGAAACAGGGATTATTCTCAAAATGAAAGGACAATGTGATGTAGTCTTTCACTGTACAGAGAAATGTGAAGGGGGAAGGGGCTACTGTGACACACGTGATTACAGCAGGGGCTCTATGGATGTGAGCAGAAATGGCAAACAAGATCTTTAGTTCTCTTAAAGGAGGAAAAATTATGCAATCTAATCTAATCTAATATTTTGTGGTAATGTCTGGCCCATAACATCATAACACAACACAACACAACTCAGCTCAACATAATTTATTGCTGTGAACAGTTGAAGTGAATATATTTTCCCAATCGAAAATAAAACATAAATATATAGACATAAATATAATATACCGCATTGGCTATATATTATGTACTTGCAAGGTTCTCTCAAAGTTTTTCCAGTAACATTTCATTTCCAGCACAGCATTTAATTTAATTTCATTTCCAGCACTTTCATTCAGAGTTATCTAGTCTTTAACAATGTTCTCAGAACATGTGCACAAAAATGTTATTTATAAATCATTAATGTAACAGTTTTTAAAAACATTTCACTTCGTCTAACGTTTTTTTTTTAAATGTTACTACTTGTTTCAGAACATTTAGAGAACATTTAAAAGTAACATTTCCATAATGTTTGAAAAAAAAAATGATAAAATGGAATGTTCCCTTAACATTCACTTAAAAAAAAAAAAACAAAAAAAACGTTTTTTTAAACATTAAAAAAACTGGACGTTTTGAATGTTCAGAGAACATTCAGAAATGTTTTCAGAACTTAATGGGAACGTTAGCAAAACCTTCTTAGAACATATTATAGATAGATAGATAGATAGTTTTTTCTGCCGTTTCTTTATTTTCAACAGTATGGATGTCAGTGTTGTAAGTGTGCTGCTCATGGCCGTGCAGTAAGGACTGTAGAGTGTCTCTAAGAGCTGCTTATTCTCTCAGGCATGCAGCTGTGAGCATGGAGGGAAATGTCAGCCATAGACACTGTGTGTGTGTATGTGTGAGAGAGAGAGAGAGAGAGAGAGGCAACAGATCAACAGAAAAATAAACATGACGAGTGTGAAAGAAGGCAGTGTCTCTGTCTTGCGTGGCTCTCGTGAAGAACACTGCAGAAATCAGCAAGAATCTGATTTTAGAAGAAGGTTGTCACTCCTAGTATGTCAGCACAATTCAGTGACATTACAAATGTCTATTCATATTCAGGAATTGCTGGGCCAAAAATTTTAATTCATTTCCTCACCCTCATGTCATTCCAAACCTGTCCTTCTGAAGGATACGGAAAGTGAATTGGGATGTGTGCTGTCAATGTATCATAACAGTAGTCAATCTATTTTTTTTTTTTTGCTATATTCTTGGTCTTCTGAAGCTTGAGATTAAAAATAATAATAATAATAATAATAATAAATAAAATATATTTGTCATTATTTAGTAGTGGAATCACTTTTTTCCCCTTGATATATGACAAACATGTGGATTAGATATTAAATAACCATATATTTGGAATAATCCAGTGAAAGGTGCAAATGAAAAGTACTTAATTTCATTCGAAACAGAAGGAACATAATATAATATAATATAATATATATAATTTTGTGGGGAACAAATAAAAGTGTTGCAATAAATATGGTAAAATGTTACACATTGCTATTTGTATTATTATAAAATCCATTCATTAAAAACATTCATGAATGTATTTATATATAAGTATGTACTATAAAATTTAAATACATTTATTTTAAATGTATAGCATATTTTTTAATAAGGCAACAACATATGATAGATACGATAGGACAAAACAAATACAGTGCAGCACGAACTGTTTTTATACAGTCAACCCTCAACGGTTTTATACAGTGGGGCAAAAAAGTATTTATTCAGCCACCAATTGTGCAAGTTCTCCCACTTAAAAAGGTCTGTAATTTTCATCATAGGTATACCTCAACTATGAGAGACAAAATGAGAAAAGAAAATCCAGAATATCACATTGTAGTATTTTTAAATAATTAATTGGTAAATTCCTCGGTAAAATAAGTATTATTTATATCTATTATATTATATCTACAAACAAGCAAGCTTTCTGGCTCTCACAGACCTGTAACTTCTTCTTTAAGAGGCTCCTCTGTCCTCCACTGGTTACCTGTATTAATGGCATCTGTTTGAACTCGTTATCAGTATAAAAGACATCTGTCCACAACCTCAAACAGTCACACTCCAAACTCCACCATGGCCAAGACCAAAGAGCTGTCAAAGGACACCAGAAACAAAATTGTAGACCTGCACCAGGCTGGGAAGACTGAATCTGCAATAGGTTAGCAGCTTGGTGTGAAGAAATCAACTGTGGGAGCAATTATTAGAAAATGGAAGACATACAAGATCACTGATAATCTCCCTCGATCTGGGGCTCCATGCAAGATCTCACCCCGTGGGGTCAAAATTATCACAAGAACTGTGAGCAAAAATCCCAGAACCACACGGGGGGACCTAGTGAATGACCTGCAGAGAGCTGGGACCAAAGTAACAAAGGCTACCATCAGTAACACACTGCGCTGCCAGGGACTCAAATCCTGCAGTGCCAGATGTGTCCCCCTGCTTAAGCCAGTACATGTCCAGGCCTGTCTGAAGTTTGCTAGAGAGCATTTGGATGATCCAGAAGAGGATTGGGAGAATGTCATATGGTCAGATGAAACCAAAATATAACTTTTTGGTAAAAACTCAACTTGTCGTGTTTGGAGGAGAAAGAATGCTGAGTTGCATCCAAAGAACACCATACCTACTGTGAAGCATGGGGGTGGAAACATCATGCTTTGGGGCTGTTTTTCTGCAAAGGGACCGGGACGACTGATCCGTGTAAACGAAAGAATGAATGGGGCCATGTATCGTGAGATTTTGAGTGAAAACCTCCTTCCATCAGCAAGGGCATTGAAGATGAAATGTGGCTGGGTCTTTCAGCATGACAATGATCCCAAACACACCGCCCGGGCAACGAAGGAGTGGCTTCGTAAGAAGCATTTCAAGGTCCTGGAGTGGCCTAGCCAGTCTCCAGATCTCAACCTCATAGAAAATCTTTGGAGGGAGTTGAAAATCCGTGTTGCCCAGCGACAGCCCCAAAACATTACTGCTCTAGAGGAGATCTGCATGGAGGAATGGGCCAAAATACCAGCAACAGTGTGGGAAAACCTTGTGAAGACTTACAGAAAACGTTTGACCTCTGTCATTGCCAACAAAGGGTATATAACAAAGTATTGAGATGAAATTTTGTTATTGACCAAATACTTATTTTCCACCATAATTTGCAAATAAATTCTTTAAAAATCCTACAATGTGATTTTCTGGATTTTTTTTTCTCATTTTGTCTCTCATAGTTGAGGTATACCTATGATGAAAATTACAGGCCTCTCTCATCTTTTTAAATTAAGTGGGAGAACTTGCACAATTGGTGGCTGACTAAATACTTTTTTTCCCCACTGTATATAGCACCTACATGGTTATTTTATCTATGTTTTATGGTTTAACTCTATTTTCACCAAAATGTCTATTTTCAAATAATCCTTACCATTGTTGTGTTATCATGCATAAGTAATGTCTGGCGTTCACTGCCAAAAACAGCCTCACGTTACATAACACTTCAGTTCAAAATATAACTTATTATAAAACAGACAGGTTTACCTTTAAATACTGATCAAA